TTTGACTCTGTCAGCCATCGATTGTTGGACTTCAAAGTTCGGAGCCTAGGCGTAACAGGTAGAGCCAGGGATCGGATTGTAGCCTTTTTGAGTAATCGCACCTTCCGAGTCAAGGTGAGTAACTACATTTCTAACCATGAGATAGTTACAAGTGGGTTTCCCCAGGGCTCAGTGCTAGGCCCCTTACTTTTTCTCATATTCATCAGCGATCTGGCACTGGATTCTCAAAATCCGTGTTTCATGTTTGCTGATGTTGTCAAAATGACAGGGTTAAACCTGAAGGGGACCTAGAGGTATCCCATCGATGGGCGGTCAAATGGGACCTACCTTTGAATCTAAGCAAGTGTCGGCTCTTAGCAACGAGAGCTGAGGCATATTTGTTTAGTGGAATTGCCATGCAGCAGGTCCCGCAGATGAATGATCTAGGGGTTCTTATAATCCAACAAGATCTTAAACCCTCAACTCAGTGCTCCAAGGCTGCCAATCAGACTAGGAGGCAGCTGGTCAGGTTGCGTGCCACAGTGACATGCAGAAGTCCTGACGTTTTCGTCCCACTGTGTAAATCGATTGTTCGCCCATCCATGGAGTATTGTGTGCAGGTATGGGCACCGTATTATTGGAGGGATGTGACCTGTTTAGGAAGAGTGCAACGCCTGACTACCCGAATGGTGACTGGGCAAAAGGAGAAAAGCTATGAGCAGCGGTTAAGAGATCTTAATCTCTTTTAGCTGGAGCGTAAAATTGTGAGGGGAGATCTGACAGAGACTTTTTAAATTGTAAGAGGTCTATCGAGACTCAACCTAGATGACTTGTTTACGGTTTCTTATGCTCAAAATACGAGAGGTCATGGTTTTAAACTCCAACAAAACCACACCAGGTTGGAAGTACGGGCCAACTTCTTCGCACAAGGACCCTGTGTGCGAAGAGGATATGACGTCATACTTATGTGGAACAGGTTACCACAGAAGTGGTCAACTGTGCCAATGTTAAAGCCTTCTACGTGGCCCTGGACGCATGTTGGTCAGCAACGTTCCCCGAAGTTAGTCTTTAGAGTGAGAACATCAAGAATGAATTCCACTTTCGCCTGAATTTTGTGCAATTGAGTCAACTCGGGCTTGATTGTTGGGGTTGGTCTCAAACCGACTCTCCTGTAACATGTGATCTATGTATACGAACGCATGTGTACGTGAG